CCAAAATATTTTATTAATATTTCTAAAATATTTTCAAAATTGCAATCAAAAACGAAACGACCACCCTGTATACTTCATACATGAAAATGGCTAAGAGTATTCGTCGGAATATCGGTGGGGAGTTCTACTATTAATAAAGTCCGGTCTTTTGTCTTCAAGGCCGCGGATTCGAAGATATCGAGATTGTCGCAAGTTCTCCACAAAATGGCGGTATAAATACGCGGCGCTAGAAAATAACGTCGCAGTCATTGTTCGGCTCTCACGCCCACGAGGTTAGGTTAGGATTAGGTTCGCGTTATTTCACAAGAAATACCCCCGGCGCGACAGAGAAAACAGTTTTTCCCGCCCTCGTATAATATCGCACTCCCGTTTCCGCGGAAAAAAAACCGCAATTCAGACGCGCGGCAACAAAACAACAACCGGATCAATCGAACTCGAAAATACCTCCGTTTAACCCCTCTTCTCTGAAAACGTCCGCAGTGTGAAACCGTACGTCTCGAAGAGTGAGAAACTTACGGAACATTTCAGATGTCGTATCATTTTGAACAATTCCAAGGTAGCGGATAAGATCGCGTTAGCGTGTTCTCGAAGCTCGAACAGTATCGAAAGCATAATTTTAACCATGCACCAGTAAGAGACGAAGAAAACTTATGTGCAATTGATGACGTGGTTGGGTATAAGAGAGGAGGTTCGTGCAAAATGTATTCGTACTTTGAACCGCGTGTCTCTCCTTCTCTTCGTACAAATTCTCAATCGTTATCCCAATACTTATCTAGACAGATAAAAAAGGAGAAGCAGCGAAAAGCTCAGTTTCTCTCGACGCGTTAAACAAGGCTAGTCAGTGGCTGTGTTCCATGGAATACTATAGGAGAAAACGACGTTTGAAACGAAACGAAGAGGAGGAGGAAAATCAGTGTGTTTCTAAAACGCTGGATGTGGCGTGGTTTATCGTGGTCTCGCGAGACCACGAACCTGCCAAATATAACCAAGAAGCGTTAAAACGCGTGCGCCACGAATCGTTTCTTCTCTCTCTCTCTCTCGGTAAGAAGAGAGAGAAGAGCTGGCTAACGCGAGGAGCCAGCAGCAGCAGCAGCGAAAAGCTAGTCGTCTGGTGAGGTGCGTTTAAAATGTTAACGCTAGAGTAGCCTAGCTAACTAGCGCTTACTTGCTTGCTTAGTGGCTGCTCCATTGGCTCGTTTCGTGTCACCGTTGCTGTTGCGAATGGCAATGGGCCAACGGAAACAAGTACATGCGTAGGCGATTCGCGTGTTATAGGGTAAGTTCAGGATTAGCTGGCTTTTATCCTGATATTTGTCAACGACATTGTACCTTTTCCTTCAAGAGAAACATGTAAAACACACCGTTTCTAAACTTTCTTTCTTTTCTTCTTTCGACAATATACAACAGGTTCCAACAGAGATATCTACTTGGACAACGAGAAAGACACCCAGACGAAAATTTCAAAGGATCGTCGAACAAAAAAAAAAAAAAAAAAGAGAATAAAAACAGAATCGTGGTGAGAGACTGTTTGGAGATAAAAGGGTAGCACAGAAAGAAAGAAGCGCGGTTGCAACGACGCGTTCACACCTCTGTTATCATCAAGCACTCCAAGGATCCACGAGGATTGATCCGTACGGCAAGCATCAGTTTCGTTCGTTCGCTACCTCGGAAGTCGATGTTGCGTTCGATTCTGGCGTCACGTCGAGCTTCACTTCCAATTCCCTGATCGGCTCGACCACGTTGTTATTGCCACGCTGCTGCACCCAAGACTCCCAGCCTTGCCTGGGCCACCATGACATCTGGTTACCCGGCATCAACAAGTTCACGTCTTGGCCTGCCATCGTCGACGACGACGACGACGTGGAGGAAGCGGATGGTGGACCAACGTCAGCCAAACCAACGTCTCCACCGCGCACACACCAGCCTCCAGGATGATCCAGGATGACCAGAGTATCGTCTTTGTCTCCCACTTTACTTCCGCGCGGGGTTTACCAGCCGAGACGTTCACGAATCTCAGGATAACGCGCGGGGCTCGTTCTCGCGCCGCTCTCACGGGCGCATCTTGCCAAGAACAACGCGTATTTCTAAATCCAGGTTGTGATCGATTCTGGGTCACAGCCCGCGCTCGGATGATCTCTCCTCCGCGGTGGCTCTCCGTGAGATTTCGAGAATTTCGATCACCTTAAACAGTTAGATCTTCTCTGAATTCTAACTCTCGATAGAGACGTGCGCAGCAGACTTTTTCCCCCGGATCATCCAAACACTGCATCTCAAAACACGCGCCTCTTCAGTATAGAATCATCGTGTTTTCTGTGCTGTTCTTTCCCGTCAGTTCTCACAAACTTCTCCTTTAATACCGGATGAACAACGAGGGAAGAAGAAGAAGAGGAAGAACTGTTATGTCGCACGCGTGTCTTCTCAGCTTCCGGCGAACCGGCTTCTTCCCTGCCGGCGCGTTTTCCGACGACGATGCGGAGGACGACGGTGTTGCGCTGGCCATCTGGCGCAAACTCGCACTAAAACCGCGGCGAAACCGCGTGACGAGTCCCCCTCGAAAATAGTCACCGGTCGAAAATAGCCGACGCTGGCTAAGAAAGAAGAATCATCGGCATTTGCTCCGGGGTACACGCTGGTCGTCGTCGGCCGTTAGTTGCGTCGCGGCCTTCTCCAGAGACTGATTCCCGTATGCCTCGCGTACCACCGATCCTCTTCTTCTTCTTCTTCTACTACCGTCACACACACACACACGTTCGTCTTTTCTTCTATTTCTTCCCACTTCATTCCCACCTCTTCTCTCTTCTTTGCTCTTCGATCGATT